TCCCTTCCTCCCTTCCTTCCTTCCTTTCTTCCTTTTCCTTCCTTTCTTTTTCCTCTCCTCTTCTCTTTCTTTCTTTCCTTCCTTCTTTCTTTTCTTTATTTCTTTCCGGGGTCTTGCTCTGCTGCCCCAGGTGGAGTGCAGGGCATAATCATGGCTCACTGCAGCCTCGACCTCCCAGGCTCAGGCAACCTTCCTGCCTCAGCCTCCCAAGTAGCTCGGGCTGCAGGTGGACACTCCCATGCCCTGCAGATTCTTGTAGTTTTGGTGAAGATGGGGTCTCACCATATTGCCCAGGCTCATGTCAAACTCCAGGGCTCGAATGATCCTTCTGTCTTGGCCTCCCAAAGTGCTGGAATTATAGGCATGAGCCACCACACCTAACTGGGGAGCTTGCTTTTCTGTGTACTATCTTCCGTGGCCAGGACAGTTTCTGTGGCAGGCTTGCTGGGTTCTCTGGCTCAGGGTCTCTCACAGCCTGGGCTCAAGGGGTCTCAAATTCTCTGGTGTTGGGATCCGCATCCAGGTGTCAGTGGTGTTGGCAGAGTTCGGCTCCGGGAGACAGAGGTTGTGGTGAGCTGAGCAGCGCCACTGCACACCAGCTGGGCAGCACAGCGAGACTTTGTCTCAAAAAACCAAACCAAACCAAACCAAACCACAAAAACAGCTTATCTCCACTTGGTTTAGTGACTGTAAGCAGTCCTGGTTTGGGTCTCACCCAGGCTGGAGTGCAGTGGTGCGATCTCAGCTCACTGCACCCTCTGCCCCCCGGGTTCGAGCAATTCTCCTGCCTCAGTCCCCTGAGTAGCTGGGACTACTGGCACGTGCCACCACACCTGGCTAATTTTTTGTATTTTTTTTTTTTTTTTAGTAGAGTTTCACTGTGTTAGTCAGGATGGTCTGGATCTCCTGACCTCGTGATCCGCCCACCTCAGCCTCCCAAAGTGCTGGGATTACAGGTGTGACCCACCATGCCCGGCCCCCCGTCTCTTCTTTAAACATGTGTGAGCTCACACACAGTGCATGGCACTTCTCCCACGCACAGAGGAAGGTCATCTCGTTGTGTGAATCTCTGTCTCTGAAGAAATTAGTCCAGGTTAGAGAAGGGCTCGGGCGCTGTCTATGAAGGAACGCTGTGTCCCTGTGTTGTTTTCCTTGTGCACAAGATGTTCCGATCCCTCCCCCCCTTCCCATGTGGAGCCATGGGTTTGGATCGTGGCTGTAGATCATCATAGCGCTGTCATTGCTGGACTAAAAGACGCCTTTGAGCAGGTGCCAGATACAGACCACAGTGGGAGAAGATGAGGCCCCCAGACAATGCCACACAGCCGGCTGGTCTCTGTAAATTGATGGCGTCATCTTGCCATAATATGAGAACGAAGTCAACTTGTGATGAACTCCGTGGGAGGAAGTGACTCATGGGAGGAGATAGTTGATGGGGTGTTTATATTGGACGGAGCTTCTAAACTCACCCGAGCCCCTTTCATAGTGAGGAAGCTGGGTGGGGAGCATCAGTTCCTACAGCTCTGTTGTTGAGCACCCTTTGGTGGGAGGCAGGGGATGGAAAAAATAAAACCTCTGATGCTTGAATGCGCAGACCCTGCAGCTCCTTCGGCCTGCTTCAAGAGCAGTCCATCCAAGATAAAGCGTGCAGTCGGACGCTTTTAAATGCGGTGCCTGTCTTGGCCTGGGAATGCTTTTATGAGTCAGCATGTTGTTCTGAAAGATAGTCGGTGATTAAGGGGCATATTGGAAAGTTATTTTAAAAGAGGAAACTCTACCATGAATCTGATTTGGGATATTTCTGTCCTGTGAAAGGGCTGTAGAGGCACAGTGGCCCCCAAAGGAGCCTGAAACCGAAGGACAAGGCCGACAAATCCAGTGGGTCGGTAAAGGGCGTTTCATGGGGGAACTTGCAGATAGAAGTGTGGCTTTTGTGGGAGCTGAACAGAGTGTGGTTTTGGGCAGCAAGGCAGGTAGATCTCCGCATGGTTACTCCCTAGATCCGAGGCTTATTCCACAGGGAAAGCGTCCGTGTCCCTCAGCAGGACAATGACAGGCACCCTCCAGGAGGGGCATGAAGGCTGTTTGTGTCATCACTTGTAATCTGTGCAATAACATCAAGGTTGGCGTGTTCTTACATGAAGGACGGTGAGTAAAGTGGGCATCAGGGCTGTTGATGGGACTGGCCTAATCAGACTCAGCATGGTGCATTTGCGTCTGAGATGCAGTCACATTTTTTTCAGATGGAGTTTTGCTCTTGTCGCCCAGGCTGGAGTGCAGTGGTGCAATCTCAGCTCACTGCAACCTCCACCTCCCAGGTTCAAGTGATTCTCTAGCCTCCTGAGTCATTGGGACTACGGGCACGCACCGCCACACCCAGCTCATTTTTTACTTTTAGTAGAAAAGCGGTTTCGCCATGTTGGCTAGGCTGGTTTTGAACTCCTCACCTCAGGTGATCCACCCGCCTGAGCCTCCCAAATTGCTGGGATTACAGGCATGAGCCGCTGCACTCGGCTCGAGATGCAGTCACTTCTGTCTCCACGGGTTCACATTCAGTGAAGACTTCACGGGCGTTTATTCTGGGCTTCCTGGAGCAGCAAAATTTAGGCACGAGATATGGATGGCTGCACTGCATTTTCTTGCCTATCTGTACTGCCTCCCACCTCCCAGTGACCCGAATCACTGGGGGAAAAAGGGGGAAGGACCGCTGGCCGCGCTGTCGTTCCTCAAAGCCAGGACTTCTCCGTCTCAGCACTGTTGACTTTTAGGGCTGAGGAATTCCTGGTGGCAGTTGGGGGTGTCCTGTGTGGTGCAGGAGGGTGAGCAGCACCCCTCACCTCTACCCATCAGATGCCAGTAGGACATTGCCTGCGTTGTGACAACCTAGAGTGTCTCCAGACATCGCTAGATGTCTCCTGGAGGGCCACATTGTCCCGTGGAGAGTCCTGGGCTAAGTCTTGTTCTCTCCGCACTGGATGGCTGGGGGACTTGGGAAGTCACCCTCCTTCCAATAGCAATTATACCACGGAGAGACCATTTTTGTGCATAGGTCTCTATGTTGCATGCTTGACTCCTGTTATACGATGAGAGGACTCAGGTTTAGGGAAGAGCAGTAGCTTGTCCAGCTGTACACAGCTAGGAACTGGTGCCAGGACCAAGCATTTGGGGCCTGTGCCATAGTACTACCCAGGAAATCTGGTCAGGGTGAACTGGAATCAGATCTCTAGGCCAGTCCTCAGGTAGATGTAGGCATCTGGAATTATTCTCAGCTGAGACAGTTAGTTTGGCCCCAGGAGACGTTTGCTAAAGTCTAGAGACATTTTGGTGCCACCATGGAGGGTGTGACTGGCGTCTAGTGTGCAGGGGTCAGGGATGCTGCTGAACAGAGATACAGTGCACAGGAGGGGCCCCGCAGAGCAGAGTTATCCTGCCCCAAATGTTCACAGTGATGAGCTTGAGCTCCCCTGTTCTGGTCCTGGTCTTTCCTAGTCTTTTGGTAGACCACAGATTGGTGATATCTGCTGTCTCGAGTATAAATCGAAAATCACGGTGTGTGAGTCCGTTCCAGTCGGAATAGTAATAACTTTCAAAACAAAGGTCTTAAATCTGGCTGGGCGTGTTGGCTCATGCCCATAATCCCAGCACTTAGGGAGGCCAAAGTGGGCAGATCACAAAGTCAGGAGTTCAAGACCAGCCTGGCCAAGATGGTGAAACCCTGTCTTTACTAAATATACAAAAATTAGCTGGGAGTGGTGGCAGGTGCCTGTAATCCCCGCTATTCAGAAGACTGAAGCAGGAAAATTGCTTGAACCTGGGAGGTGGAGGTTGCAGTGAGCCAAGATTGCACCACTGCACTCCGGCCTGGGTGACAAAGTGAGACCCCATCTCAAAAAAAAAAAAAAAAAAAAAGATTTTAAATTTGTTTGATCTTGCTTTCATCATTGACTAATTTTCCAAATGTGTTGAGTTTTTCTTTTACTTTCTGTAGCTTTTGCACCCAAATGAGGCCCCTTCTGGCTTTTCATCTTCAGCCAAGTGATAAAACACTGGTGTCTGTTAAGTGTACTTTGTACACCGTCTGTCATGGGAAGCGGACTTTGCAGCCAGGAGAGAGTGTTCCTTTCAATTTCTCATTCCTTCTGGCCTCCCTCTCTAGGATGAATCAACTGGAGAAATTACGTTTTACATGAAGGGAGCAGATGTGGTCATGGCTGGCATTGTGCAGTACAACGACTGGTTGGAAGAAGAGGTAAGTGTGTTACAGAGAGTTAACACCAGACCTCGAAGCCTGTCCTGCAGAGGCAGCCCCTGGCATGGTAAGGTGGGTCTCTGTATTTGTTATCAGTGGCTGTGTAACAAACCACCCTGAAATGTAGCTGCTTAAAGCAGCACCCATTTAATAGATGATGGTTTCTGTGGGTCAGGGATCCTGGAGTGGCTGAACTGCATTCTCTGCCTTAGGGTCTCCCACTGGCCGTAATTCAGATGCTGGCTGGGGCTGTGATCTCATTTTAAGACTCAACCGGGGCTGGACCCACTTGCGAACAAGCTCAGTGGTTGTGGGCTGCATTCAGCTCCCTGTGGGCTGTTGGACTGAGGGTCTCAGGTGCTTGCTGACTGTTGATCAGGGGCCACTCTCTATTCCTTGCAAGTGGGTTTCTCCCATAGGGCCCCTCACAGCCTGGCAGCTGGCTCCACCAAAGTGCAGGTGAGGGAACAGGAGAGGGCAAACGAGATAGAAGGGACTGGCTTTCCTAACCTGAGCTCACATGTGACATCCCCTCACTCTTACCTGTTCTGTTTGTTAGGGACAAGTCAGTAGGTCCAGCACACACTCAGAGGGTAGGTGCTTATCCCAGAATGTGAGTTCCAGGGGGTGGGGGCCGTGTCAGAGGCTGCCCAACCCAGTTTGTGACGTGGACAGTTGACCAGCGGCAGGAGGGAAGCAGCACTTAGGCTTTTCCAGCCGTTTTTGTCCCATCCCTTAGCTCTATATGGGGAATTTACATTTTGCATTAGATTACCAGTTTAACGGCCATAAACCCAGATGTCTACAGGACCCAGGCAGTTAATGCAGATGAACAAAACAGGCTGTGATTTTTGAGCAGAGTTGCACTTTGCGTGTAAAATGTGCTGGAGAGCTCCTCCCTTGACACCTCTGCTTCCTGGGAACGCGGAGGCCACTGCTCCTCAGCCATCAGGGATTGATTTCGTCAGATGCTCAGTTTTTCCACCCATTCAGCAACCCAGATTTGTGTGTGAGACCGTATGATGTTTGTTTTTTTTTTTTTTTTGAGACGGAGTTTCACTCATTGCCCCGGCTGGGGTGCAATGGCACGATCTTGGCTCACCACAACCTCCACCTCCTGGGTTTAAACGATTCTCCTGCCTCAGCCTCCCGAGTAGCTGAGATTACAGGCATGTGCCACCATGCCCAGCTAATTTTTCTGTATTTTCAGTAGAGACAGGATTTTTCCATGTTGGTTAGGCTGATCTGAAACTCCCAACCTCAGATGATCTACCCACCTCGGCCTCCCAAAGTGCTGGGATTATAGGCATGAGCCACTGTGCCTGGCTGACCATACGGTATTGACTTTAATTTTAAAACATGTATGTGCTTGTCAAAGAAGACCTGTGCGTGGCCGTGCTTGGCCACGGGCTATCTCTCTGCCCCCTGTCCTGTAGAAGGTTTGCTCCAGGGAAGATTGCTGCAGGGGAAAGCAACCTTCTGATTTGCCATTTTCCTTGTCACTGTGGGAGGTGCCCTGGTCCCTCCGCAGGGAAGTCAGGAGCGCTGACTGTGGTCTACTTTTCAGTGTGGCAACATGGCCCGAGAAGGGCTCCGGGTGCTCGTGGTGGCGAAGAAGTCTCTAGCGGAGGAGCAGTATCAGGACTTTGAAGTAAGTTGTTTTGGGGCCTTTCCGTGGCTTCTGCAGCCCCGCCCACCTCCCAGTCACCCCTTCCACCTCCCTCCTCCTGTGCGAGCCACTCTGATGTCGTTTCCGGGCACACGGGGTTCGCTGTTGTTGAGAGGCCTTTCTACCTGCTATTCTCTCTGCCTGGAACTCTCTTCACCCACAGAGCCCCATGGCCCATTCCGTTGGTTCTTTTGGGTTTCAGCTCAAAAGCTGCCTCCTCCAAGAAGTCTTCCTGGACCATCTAAGGCACCTTTTCACTTTCCATCCATCACACCGTTTCACGTTTTCAATGCTTTTGTCACTGTCATCGCACTCCACCATTTGGGGCCAAAACAGTATGTCTAGGAGTTGAATCTCGAGAGGCCGGAAAAATATAACCTAGACCTCGTTCGTGTACTTTTTTAAACATTCATCTTATCCATTTCTTTTCTGGAATAAAAAAATATTTTTGAGGTCAGGGACTTCACAAGTCCGGTTTGTTCTTTTTTTTTTTGAGACACAGTTTTGCTCTTGTCACCCAGGCTGAAGTGTGGTGGCACGATCTCGGCTCACTGCAACCTCCGCCTCCTGGGTTCAAGTGATTCTCCTGCCTCAGCCTCCCAAGTAGCTGGGATGACAGGTGCCCGCCACCACGCCCAGCTGATTTTTGTATTTTTAGTAGAGACGGGGTTTCGACATGTTGGGCAGGCTGGTCTCAAACTCCTGACCTCAGGTGATCCACCCACCTTGGCCTCCCAAAGTGTAGGGATTATAGGTGTGAGCCACTGCGCCTGGCCTGGTTTGTTCTTATATCCGTAATAGTTAAAGATAGTCCTTGGCACATAGTATGCCTTCAAGAAAATTGGGCGTAAATCATCCTCTTGGAACCCTAATTTCTTTTCTCTTTTTTTGCACATTTATTTTGAGATGGGATCTTGCTATGCCGCCAGGCAGATCTCAAACTCCTGGCCTCAAGCCGTCTTCCTGCCTCAACCTTCTTGTAGCTGGGGTTACAAGCGTGAGCCACTGCACCTCGTTCGGTTCCCTTTCCGTTTTTTTTGAGCACAGTTGGACTCTTGTCACCCAGGCTGGAGTGCAGTGGCGTGATCTCGGCTCACTGCAGCCTCACTTCCCGGGTTAAAGCAATTCTTCAGCCTCAAGCCCCCAAGTAGCTGGAATTTCAGGCATGCGCCACCATGCCTGGCTAATTTTTGTATTTTTAGTCGAGACAGGGTTTTGCCATGTTGTCCAGGCTGGTCTCGAACTCCTGACTTCAGGTGATCTGCCCACCTCGGCCTTCCAGAGTGCTGGGATTACAGGCATGAGCCACTGCACCTGGCATCCCTAATTTCTTTAAACTGTAAAAATGTTGGAGTTGAACCAGATTAGTGACTTGTTTGTTGTCATCCTGTCCCATAGATAGTGTGTTCCCTGAGGGGAGGGTCCCTGTCTTGTTCACTGCCGTGTCTCTGGGGCCAGCGTGCAGGAATGCAAGGGAGGGAGGTGGGACAGGCTTTGTGGGCCCCTGCCCTGCTCTACCTGGAGAAACTGCCTGGGTCTCTCGTTAATGTATTTGACTTCTCTGTAAGCTGTTACGTAAGAAGCGTTCTAGTCCTGACAAATGCTACCCCCCTTGTAACTTTAAAAGCGTGTGCTTTGCCGGGCGCGGTGGCTCAAGCCTGTAATCCCAGCACTTTGGGAGGCCGAGGCGGGTGGATCACGAGGTCAAGAGATCGAGACCATCCTGGTCAACATGGTGAAACCCCGTCTCTACTAAAAATACTGAAAATTAGCTGGGCATGGTGGCGTGTGCCTGTAATCCCAGCTACTCGGGAGGCTGAGGCAGGAGAATTGCCTGAACCCAGGAGGCGGAGGTTGCGGTGAGCCGAGATCGCGCCATTGCACTCCAGCCTGGGCAACAAGAGCGAAACTCCGTCTCAAAAAAAAAAAAAAAAAAAAAAAGCGTGTGCTTTGAGCAGGCCCGTTAGGAGATGGCTGGTTTTCCCCCAGGCTTTTGCTAACACGGTAAAGAGAAGAAGCAGAAGTTTGGGTTGATGGTCTTCAGAAGCCCGACCTGGTCTTTAGAAAACCTGGTGACTCGGCGTGTGCTTTACAAAGTGCATGTGGAGTGTGGGGGAACTTAACTGTTTTTTGAGATCTTGGTTGTGCCTGTCCCTGAGACAACCCAGTGAGGTTGGTGCTGTCATTTCGTGGCCAAGGATCAGAGAGGTTAAGTGACTTGCTGGAAGCCCCTAGCAGGCGAGTGTAGAGCATAGGGTGGGGCTCAGGTCTGTGCGGTGTCTGCATGGAGGACTTGTGGGGAAGCCAGAAGCCTGTGTCACCCCTGTGGGGTCCAGCTCACCTGCTGGGGTCCCCACCTTGTGTGGTGGGGACCGGGCACGGCCTGTCCACTCTCGGCCCTGGCCAGTCAGCCTGGCGTTTCCTCACCCTAAGCAGTGACCACATCTGCTGGTATGTCCCAGGCCCGCTACGTCCAGGCCAAGCTGAGTGTGCATGACCGCTCCCTCAAAGTGGCCACGGTCATCGAGAGCCTGGAGATGGAGATGGAGCTGCTGTGCCTGACGGGCGTGGAGGACCAGCTGCAGGCAGACGTGCGGCCCACGCTGGAGACCCTGAGGAACGCGGGCATCAAGGTAGGGCGGGCAGGCTGCAGGGAAGGGCAGTCCGGGGTGATGCCTCTTATCCCTTCAGCAGCGCAGGGAGATCAGAGCGGGAGAAGCAGCAGAGACCAGGAGTGCCTTCTCTGCAGTGGCCACAGTCATTGTTTCTGCCCCTCCAGCCCTGTTTTTTTTTTTTTTTTTTTTTTTTTTTTTTTTTTTTTTGAGATGGAATCTTGCTCTGTGTCTCAGGCTAGAGTGCAGTGGCACGATCTTGGTTCACTGCAACCTCCACCTCTGGATTCAAGCCATTTTTGTGCCTCAGCTTCCTGAGCAGCTGGGATTACAGGCACCCACCACCATGCCCAGCTAATTTTTGTATTTTTGTAGAAACAGGGTTTCACCATGTTGGCCAGGCTGGTCTTGAACTCCTGACCTCAGGCGATCTTCCCATCTCGGCCTCCCGAAGTGCTGGGATTACAGGCAGGAGCCACCGTGCCTGGCCTTCCAGCCCTGATTTGGAAGACGTCTTGTGTAGCGTTTGCCTTTACTATACCGGTGTCTCCCCTGACCCCTCTGGGCTCCCTGGTGCTCAGGGCCAAGCAGTGTCTGGCGTACATAGCTGCTGATTATATTCTAGTAGGGTGACCAGCACGTCTGTCTGTCGTGTGGCTGAGTGAGCTGGTGGCCACCAGCAGAATGGCCGCCAGCACCAGGACGCTGTCATATTAGCATTTTGCACTCTACTGTTTGGGGCCCAAAAAAATACTAGGAGCTGAATCTGGAGAGGCCAGCAGAGGGCGCGTGAGGACCTGGTCCTCAGTGGACTCAAGGGAGGTGTGAACAAACTCGTTGGCCTGGAGCTCCTAGAAATGTGTCCCTGCCACTGGCCTCCACTCAGAAGTGGCTCTCTGCTGCATCCTGGGGCCTGCCCTTTCAGCAGAGCCATGGGAGGAGGAAGGGGTAGACGCCAGGCGACATTTGGGCCCACTGGGGACTCCCGCCCCAGTGTGACTCTTGCCTTATAAACCCGATTCTGTCCCGTGCGTTCGGCTCTCAGGCCTGGTGCGTCGTTAGGAAATCACCAGCGGGACCTTGTTTCTGGACGTCTGGCTGCTGGGAGCCCATTTCTGCTCCATCGTGGAGTCTGCAGTTGGGTCTTGGCCATTCCTATGACTTCTCTTGGAGTTCAGGAGTTTCCATTTTCTGCTTCCAGCTGTGTCCCGGGGTTTTTCTCTTTCTCAAAACTGTGTTATCCCAAGACGAGACGTTTTATTCACAGAGTGTGGATGCGACTTATCTTTCTGGTTTCCTGTTGGATGAGAGGGGGAGGGGTGCCTGAGATGGGACAGATTAGTTGGTAATTAAAGTCTAAGATACGATCTTGCACGGGACTTTTTTGTTTGTTTGTTTGTTTTTGAGACAGAATTTTGCTCTTGTTGCCCGGGCTGGAATGCAATGGCAGGATCTTAGCTTACCGCAACCTCCGCCTCCCGGGTTCAAGCAATTTTGCTGCCTCAGCCTCCCAAGTAGTTGGGATTACAGGTATGTGCCACCACGCCTGGCTAGTTTTATATTTTTAGTAGAGATGGGGTTTCATCACATTGGTCAAGCTGGTCTTGAACTCCTGACCTCAAGTGATCCGCCCACCTTGGCCTCCCAAACTGCCGAGATTAACAGGCATGAGCCACTGCGCCTGGCTGCACAGGAAATTTTCTACATGAGCCCCTTGTGTGGATGTAGAAACAGGCTGAGGGAAGCGCCTCCCTTCCCCAGGTTCCCACACTGGGAAGCGGCAGAGCTGGGACTGGAGCTGGGACTGCGGCCCTTCCTGTAGCATCTTCATCACCCTCGTGTGGGACATTAGCCACGTCGTGCACCTGATCATTCTTTTCATGCTTTTCTGGAACTTCAGTCTCCCAATTCCTTCCCCAGGGTTTGTTCTCTTGCATTAAACCCTGAGAACTGTGACTCGCTAGGCTGACCAGAAAGAATGTTGTTTTTAGGACAGGCGGGAGATTGAGGGCGAACATAGACCCAGCCAGGGGAGAGGGCCTGAGAGGCTCGGCCCTGAGAGGTGCCCGGTATCTTCTTTCTGCCCATCCCACTGCCTGTGTTCCCAGCCTGCCTCTCCCTTCTTCTGTGACCCTTGGCAAAATGACTTAACCTCTTAGCACTGGATTCAGGTGATTCTTGTGCCTCAGCGTCAGGAGTAGCTGGGATTACAGGCACGCCCCACCATGCCAGGCTAATTCCTTCCGCAGTGTTTGAAGCTATCATGAAGGGAACAGGCAGCTCAGCATGGGTGCTGGGCACATAGTGGACCCTCGGGAGACTCAGGAAAATAGGATTTTCTTTCCTACACTACCCCTGCTATCCAGATTTTCTTTGTCCGATAGCCCCAAGACTGCTCCCAGCTGGGAGCAAGGAGAACAAGAGGGTTAAAGAGGTGAAATCAAAGAGCAGGAAGCACATTCCTGAGGGCTGAAGACTGGGCTTGGTTAGGAAGAGAGGTGGCTGTGTGGTCTGGGGCAAGTCACCTGCCCCCTCTGAGCCCACAGCAGAGCAGTGCAGTGTGAGATGATACACACGATGTGGAAGAACCTGGCTCATTTAGGGTCAGCACTTTCTAGCTGAGTTAAACCCCAGGAGGGTCTGACTTGCTCATCCAACTACATAGAAAGTCCACAGCATCACAAATCCGTGTTTCCTGCAGGACACAGAGGTGCCCTCTCATCCATACAGCCTTTCCCTTCTTTTAGGATATTTATCACTTTAAGAAAAATTCTCAGAAGGGGAATTATGTGGTCCAAGGACCGAGCTTCACAGTACCTCCTGTAGTGTGTGGCCAGATGGCTCTTTCTAGAAGGATCCGCCAGCTTTTGCTGCTACCAGCAGTGGTTTTGCTAGGAGTCCTAAAGCCCTTCAGCCAGGGCGCTTGCTGAGTCGTGCTGGGGACAGCACACGTCGGCAGGAGGTAAACGGAACCTTTCAAGTTCAGCTCCATGTTCTTGGAAACTCAGCGGTTGCAGTTGACAGGCTGGCCTCAAAAACTAACAAACAGGACCTCTGCTGTGCGGTCATTTCAGGTCTGGATGCTGACGGGGGACAAGCTGGAGACTGCTACGTGCACGGCGAAGAATGCACACCTGGTGACCAGAAACCAGGACATTCACGTGTTCCGGCTGGTAAAGCGTCCTCTGTGTTAGGGCCATGGCGGGGTGAGGTTCGATTGGTCATCCACGTGTTCCGGCTGGTAAAGCGTCCTCTGTGTTAGCACCACGGAGGGATGAGGTTCGATTGGTCCTGAGCCTCCTAACCTCGAGTGGGCCCCTTAAGAAGGAGCCACCTAGGGAGGGGAGCTTCAGCCACAGTTCAGTGATTCTTTGGGTGGGATGACTGATGAGACAGGTGCTGGCTGGAGAGTTCCCTCCGGGAGCACCTCCTGAGAGTCCTGTGCTAATGCCATGTTCTTACCCTTTTAGGGGGTCACAGTCCCTTTGAGAAGCTGATGAAAGTTAGGCACTACCCCCGAAAGATGCAGCTCCACTCATACACGTGAAATTATGCATGGGATTCCTGGGATTTCACTGAACCCCTGGAAGTACAGTCCCTGGATAAGAAAGAAATTCCAGGCCACAGATTCTGGCCTGTGCGTCCTCTCAAGGGGGAAGTGGTCGGGACTGTTGAGGAGCTTTTTGAAGGAGGGGAATTGGATGGGCAAATGAGAAATTGCCCGCCCCTGTGGCAGGCATTGAGCGAAACAGTGCACACATCAGGAAGTGCATCCAGCAAGGCCTGTGCTAGGCTTTCTCGAGTTGGGGAGGTCAGGGGCACTGGGTCCTCTTTGGGGCAGGTTATAGCAATCCCACTGATCTGAAACCACAGCCACGATGGCAAACCGGAGGGTCTCTAGATGTTTGGGGGTCTCTCCCTCACCCCTGCCTTTGGTCCATAGCACAGAGAAGCTTCAAAAAATCCCGCAATTTGTAGAATAGTGTAGAGGCAGGTATAGTCAGTTCTCATCATTTGCAGATTCTTTGTGAATTGTCCTCCTCATTAAAACTTATCTGTGACCTCCAAATCAGTACTTTTGATACGTTCACGGTGATAATGTAGAGTGGCTTAAAATTTTTTTTTTTTTTTTTTTTTTGACATGGAGCCTTGTCAACCAAGCTGGAGTGCAGTAGCACAATCTCGGCTCACTGCAACCTCCGCCTCCTGGGTTCAAGCGATTCTCCTGCCTCAACCTCCCAAGTAGCTGAGATTACAGGTGCCTGCCACCACGCCTGGCTGATTTTTGTATTTTTAGTAGAGATGGGCTTTCACCCTGTTGGCCAGGCTGGTCTTGAACCCCTGACCTCAGGGGATCCTCCTGCCTTGGCCTCCCAAAGTGCTGGGATCACAGGGATGAGCCACCGCGCCCGGCCTAGAGTTGCTTAGCATTTTAGCTGCCTGATGTGTGCATTCCCACCTGCGGCTGAGCAAGGCCACGCTCTGCCTCCTTCTTTCAGCCTCGTATGGCGAACACGTGTCCTCTTTGCAGTCCATTTAAATATCAGGTTTTTTCCCATTTTTGTGCCTTTTGTTGGCAGCATGTTTAAAATGATCCCAGCACAGCGCTGCTTCGCTGGCCAACCTTCTTAAGTGCAGGAAGGCTGTCGGTGTGACTTAGGGAGAAATGTATGTGTCAGATGAGCTTCCTTCAGGCATGACTTACAGCACTGATGGCTATGAGTTCGATGTTAGTGAACCAAGGTGTCTTTAAATAGAAACACACATAAAATAAGGTTATATATTTATGAAAACATTGCAAGTGGGGCAAAAATTTAACCCTGTATTTCCCCTCCAGGCGATGGTTTAGTATGTGCTAATGCCATGTGCACAGTGACTTTAGAAAATGTAGCTGCTGTGAATCATGAGAATTGACTGTGTGTTCTAGAATTCAGGGATTGCAAACGAATGACCTATGTGCCAGCCACCTGTTTTTCACACAGCAGGCATTTTGTTTTATTGGAGTGTAGACAGACCCACTCATCTGTGAATGGTGTGCGGCTGCTTTTGTGTTACAACAGCAGAGCTGAGTGGTTGTGACTGAGACCATGTGGTCCATGAAACCCATGAGAGTTAGCATCTGGTCCTTTACACAAAAGTGGGCCAGCCTCTGCCAGGTGCCTGGCTTTGCCTGCCTGTGCTACAGCATACTAGTTTCAGACACACTGACAAATGTCACCATGCTTCAGTTTCTTTTAAGTGCAAAAAAGAGCCATATTCTTTCGGTACCTCATAGAGCCGTTGTGAGAAATAAATGAGAAAAATTCACAGATGTTTAGTCCAACGCCTGGCTTATAATGAAAGCACAGGCTTTTTTTTGTTTTTGTTTTTGTTTTTGAGACAGAGTCTCACTCTGTGGCTCAAGCTAGAGTGCAATAGCATGATCTCAGCTCACTGCAACCCCCGCCTCCCGGGTTCAAGCAGTTCTCCTGCCTCAGCCTCCCGAGTAGCTGGTATTACAGATGCCCACCACCACGCCCGGCTAATTTTTGTATTCTTAGAAGAGAGGGGGTTTCATCGTGTTGGCCAGGCTGGTCTCGAACTCCTGACTTCAAGTGATCTGCCTGTCTTGTCCTCCCAAAGTGCTGGGATTATAGGCGTGAGCCACCGCCCCTGGCCAGTACAGGCATTTTTAGTCCTGGGGGAAGTTGTAGGTGGCAATTGTATGGGCTCTTCCGATTCCCACAGAATCATAGCCAACAGGATTCCATTTGGTGCTGCCTCTGGTGGTTGGGGAGGGGAGGGACCCTTGGCTGGGGTGGCCGTTGTCTTCATGCTGGCTCTAGGAGGCCACTGTTTATTGTTCTATGGTCTCCGGAGAGCAGTGCCTCCTTCTTCATCTCTGTCCCCTTCCAGGTGACCAATCGTGGGGAGGCTCACCTCGAGCTGAATGCCTTCCGCAGGAAGCATGATTGCGCCCTGGTCATCTCGGGAGACTCCCTGGAGGTGAGCTCGGGGACCCCTGAGAGCCAGTCCTCCCAGCAGCCTGGGCCTCATCCGGGGCACTGCAGGCTGGGCAGCGACCTCCACCGACGCACCTCCTCTCCCTCCACCCTGCAGGTTTGCCTTAAGTACTACGAGTATGAGTTCATGGAGCTGGCCTGCCAGTGCCCAGCTGTGGTCTGCTGCCGCTGCGCCCCCACCCAGAAGGCCCAGATCGTGCGCCTGCTGCAGGAGCGCACGGGCAAGCTCACGTGCGCAGTAGGTAGGCGCGGCTCAGCTGTGCCGCTGGCCCTGGCTGCCGGTGCGCCCGGCTCCCTTTCCCTGAGGGTGTTTGGACCCTGCTGCTTGTTCTTCAGATTCCCCAGGCCCCTTTTTTCGGGTCGTGATTTTTCTCGGCCTTGAAGACTTTGGCCCTCTTTTTGTTGTTGTTTTTAATATTTCCCTTGGAGAGCAGATAAGCGTGAGCCAGACCCCTACTCCTTTGCTAGTGGCTCAAGAGCACAGCCTTCCGGGGGTGGAGACCACACACTATGGGGTTGGATCTGGGTTCAAATCTTTCCTCTGGCTTTTCCCAGTGGGTGCCCCAGGTGGCTTCTTTGATCCCTCTGAGCCTCCATTTGTGCATTGGTGAAATGGGAATAATAATAGTGGCTTCCTCAAATGTTGTTTATGAGGACTTAAAAGAGGTCACCTTGTTGTTTTTTTTGAAATGGAGTCTTGCTCTGTCCGCCACGCTGGAGTGTAGTGACACAGTCTTGGCTCACTGCAACCTCTGCCTCCTGGGTTCAAACGATTTTCCTGCCTCAGCCTCCTGAGTAGCTGGGACTGCAAGCGTACGCCACCACAATTAGCCTGGCTAATTTGCATTTTTAGTACAGACAGGGTTTCACCATATTGGCCAGGCTGGTTTCGAACTCCTGACCTCAGGTGATCTGCCTGTCTTGGCCTCTCAAAATACTGAGATTACAGGCATAGGCCACTGTGTCCAGCCTAAAAAGGATCACCTTTAAAATGGGAGAGCTCGAATGCACGGTGCAGGCCAGGCACTCAAAAGTGCTCCGTGAAAGACACGAGTGTGTTAAAGACAAGCACGCGTTCTTGTTTAAGGTAAAAATTAAATGTCCTTTCTCTCTGGTCTGTGTGGCCCGCAGGGGACGGAGGCAATGACGTCAGCATGATTCAGGAATCCGACTGCGGCGTGGGAGTGGAAGGAAAGGTGAGCGTGTTCCCTCTGCTCGACTCCACTTGCTGGAGTTTCTTGGTTCCTTTTCCCTCAAAGACATAGTTTTAAGACTTCTGGAAATTCCAAATGAGGAATGATAACACATGAGGAACGGTGTGTCACAATTACCTCATGTCACTGGGAAGAAAGAGGTCTGTATTGCCACATCTTACAGACAGATGAAGGTTGACCTTTCGTTTGCCAAGACCTAAATTAAAAAAAAAAAAGATCCACATAGTGTTTCTTGGCCAGGCGTGGTGGCTCATGCCTGCAATCCCAGCACATAGGGAGGCTGAGGCAGGCGGATCACTTGAGATCAGGAATTGGAGACCAGCCTGACCAACATGGAGAAACCCTGTCTTTACTGAAAATACAAAAATGAGCTGGGCATGGTGGCAGGCACCTGTAATCCTAGTTATTTGGGAAGTTGAGGCAGGAGAATGGCTTGAATCCGGGAGGCAGAGATTGTAGTGAGCTGAGATCACGCCATTGCACTTCAGCCTGGGCAACAGACCGAGACTCAGTCGAATGTATGAATGAATGAATGAATGGATGGATAAAATGTTTCTATATTCTTACGGTATGGGAAATGTACTTCAGACTTCCCTGGGGCAGGCAGCATTGTCAGTAAAAGCATTGTTTATCGTGCCGTGAGCTGATCTCTTGGGCACTTACGGAAGAGTGTGGCTTGGTTTGCTTCTCACCAAAAGGTCTTTTCAGCTACAATTTTTCTTTTTGAGATAAGTCTTGCTCTGTCACCCATGCTGGAGTGCAGTGGTGCAGTCTCGACTCACTGCAACCTCTGCTTCCTGGGTTAAAGCGATTCTCCTGCCTTAGCCTCTACAGACACATGCCATCACGCCCGGCTAATTTTTGTATTTTTAGTAGAGACAAGGTTCACCATGTTGGCCAGGATGGTCTTGATCTCTTGACTTTGTGATCCACCCGCCTCAGCCTCCCAAAGTGCTGGGATTACAGGCATGAGCCACCGCGCTCCACCTCACCTACAATTTTTAAGAGTTGGTGTGTTATGAAACCGTTTTCTGCCTTTTCCTCCTTGCTGATTATGTGCTTGCCTCTTAGAGTTTACTCTGTCCTAATTCGTGACCTCTAAATGACTAGAGGCAAGAAGATGGGTCACTGAGTTAGGACCGTGTGAAGGGCTGGGTGCGGTGGCTCAAGCCTGTAATCCCCAGCACTTTGGGAGGCTGAGGTGGGTGGATCACTTGAGAACAGAAGTTTGAGACCAGCCTGGCCAACATGGTAAAACCTCGTCTTTACTAAAAATACAAAAATTAGCGGGACATGATGGAGGGTGCCTGTAATCTCATCTAGTCAGGAGGCCGAGGCAGGAGAATCACTTGAACCTGGGAGGGGGAGGTTGCAGTGAGCTGAGATTGAGCCATTGTACTCTAGCCTGAGTGAAAGAGCAAAACTCCGTCTCAAAAACAAAACAAAACAAAACAAAAACCCCAAAAACGTTTTGTGAAGTATAGGCGTGCCAAGGCCCTGAAGAGCCACTGGAGACGCTCTCCCATCCATCCTGTTGCATATCTTCATGACTCTGGCTGACCCCTAGGGCTTCCCCCCCACCCCACTCTTTCCCACCCTTTCTGGTTCTGATTCTCAGCAAGATGATGATGATGATTTGAAGTTGCAGAGTGAAATGATTTTTTTTTTTTTTGAGACAGTTTTGCACTGTGGCCTGAGCTGGAGTGCAGTGGCGTGATCTCCACTCATTGCAACCTCCGCCTCCCGGGTTCAAGCGATTCTTTTGCCTCAGCCTCCTGAGTAGCTGGGATTACAGACGTGCACCACCAGGCCTAGCTAATTTTTTGTATTTTTAGTAGAAACAGGGTTTCACTATGTTGGTCAGGCTGGTCTTGAACTCCTGACCTCGTGATCCACTTGCCTCAGCCTCCCAAACTGCTGGATTACAGGCGTGAGCCACTGCACCCGGCGGTGAAATGATTTTTGAATGGGATATATCAGAAGTTTGTATAGATTCCCTGAATGCAGGTTTTAAGAAGCATGTTTGGCCGGGCACGGTGGCTCACACCTATAATCCCAACACTTTGGGAGGGTGAGGCGGGTGGATCACGAGGTCAGGAGATCGAGACCGCTCTGGCTAACATGGTGAAAACTCGTCTCTACTAAAAATACAAAAAAAATCAGTCGGGCGTGGTGGCACATGCCTGTAGTCCCAACTACTCGGGAGGCTGAGGCAGGAGAATTGCCTGAACCCAGGAGGTGGAGGCTGCAGTGAGCCTAGATTGCAACACTGCACTACAGCCTGGGCAACAGTGCGAGACTCCATCTCCAAAAAAAAAAAAAAAAAAAGCATGTTTGAGTTTAATGGAATTCTGTACCAGTTCTTAGAAAAATTAAAGCATTTTCCCTTCTCTTAAAAATGTATTATGATTCCTTTGTTTCTTGGGATGTGAAAGTAATAGTGCTCACTATAAAAAATTAAAAGAATCTAGGCCAGGCCTGGTGGCTCAGGCCTGTAATCCCAGCACATTGGGAGGCCAAGGCAGGCAGATCACCTGAGATCAGGAGTTCAAGACCAGTCTGGCCAAAATGGTGAGACTCCGTCTCTACTAAAAATACAAAAATTAGCTGCGCTTGGTGGTGGGAGCCTGTAATTCTAGCTACTCGGGAGCTGAGGCGGGAGAGTTGCTTGAACCTGGAAGGCAGAGGTTGAAGTTGGCGAACATCACTCTACTGCAGTCCAGCCTGGGTGACAGAATGAGACTCTGTCTCAAAAAAATATGTGACATTAAAGAATCTAGAAGTAAAGTGCATCTTTTCTTTTAGGTAACTGGATCACATGAGTAAACCTGGTTATTCTTCCAGCATTTTTTCTGGGTGTATATTACTGGTTATGAGTGTGTGTGGATTTGCTGTCTATACACTTAACCTGACACATGTATATATATGATTTTCATATTGAAAACACACTGTATATTTTGTTAGGCGGCTTAAATCTGTGATATCTTGGATTTGTTCCTACATTAGAGCATATAGAACCATCACTTCTTACTCTGACTCTACCTTTCTATTTTGAAAAATGTCAAAAGTTGAAATAAAACAATGGAAAAGTTGAAATAGAACAGCGAGCATCCATCTACCCTTCACCTTGATTGTCCAGTTGTTAATATTTGCTGCATCGTCTTTCTTTGAATCAGCTGAAAGTAAATTGCATGTAACGTTACCCCCTAAGTATTTCAGCTGGATCTCTTTAGAACAAGGACGTTCTCCCACACAAGGAAAGTAACATCATAACCCCCACAAGTCACATTGATATAATGGTACTGTATGATATTCATGCTCAGATTTCCCTATCTGTTCTCTAAATCTCTTCATAGCTTAAAAAAAAAAAAAAGCTCCAGGAAGGATTGCAAATCACATTTATTAGTATGTCTTTGTGTTTCTAATCTTTTTTTTTTTTTTTTTTTTTTTGGAAACAGAGTCTCGCCAGACTGGAGTACCGTGGCTCAGTCTGCGCTCAGTGCAATCTCTGCCTCCTGAGTTCAAGCAATTCTCCTGCCTCAGCCTCCCGAGTAGCTGGGACTACAGGCGTGCGCCACCATGCCAAGCTAATTTTTGTATTTTTTAGTAGAGATGGGGTTTCACCATGTTGGCCAGGATGGTCTTGATCTCTTGACCTTGTGATTCGCCTGCCTCAGCCTCCCAAAGTGCTGGGATTCCAGGCATGAGCCACCACGCCCGGTTCTAATCTTCTTTATTGTAGAACACTTTTCTCTATTTATTTATTTATTTTTTTTGGTTGGAGGGTGTTTTATTTTTCATGTTAATGGTGTTTTTGAAGCATTCAGGACAGTTGTAGAGTGTCTCACGCTATGCAGACCGTGAGCCGGTCAGACTGGTTGGGTTCCGATTCTGGATTGATGTCAGCACTGCAGAGGAGGAGCTGGTGTTCTGCCTGTTGCGTCACATCCAGAGGCTCTAACATCCCTCTGTCCCTTTGTTGTTGGCTGTCACCTCCTTTTAAAATGAGAGAATTCGGCCAAGTGAGGTTGCTCATGCCTGGAATCGCAGCTGAGGTGGGCGGATGGCTTGAGCTCAGGAGTGTGAGACCAACCTCGGCAACGCGGGGAAACCTCATCTCTGCCAAAAATAACAAAATGAGTCAGGCGTGGTGGTGCCTGTCTGTGGTCCCAGCTACTCGGGAGGCTGAGGTGGGAGGGTGGCCTGAACCCCCAGGAGGCAGAGGTTGCAGTGAGCTGAGGGCACACCACTGCACTCCAGCCCGGGTGACAGAGCAGGACCCTGTCTCAAGAAAAAATAAAAATTAAAAAAGCAAAATGAGAGAATTCCGTTATATGGCTGTGCTGTAAGTCATTTCCCCTTCCATGAGTGTGCAGTGCTGTATATTCAGGAATTTCCTAACTCATACTGTTAGGAGGTCTGGGTTTTCACCTCATGCTTAATTAGCTCTTAAAGGAACTGAAAGTTTTAAAATACTGTATCTATCTTTAAATGATCCTTTGCTATTTAACGGGGTGGGCTGAACTCCCAAGGCTTAATATTAGATCTACTTGACCTCCAAATTATAACGTATGCGATTCAGAATGGTTTTCATTTAAAAACACTCCCCTTTTAAAATCAAATTTAGACTTGGACCACCAACTGCGTATCACTTGAAACCAAAGAGTTTCGTTCTTGAAGTTCTTCAAATATCTCCTTAGAATGTCTTGCTTTTTCAATTAAAGGAAATGTGTTTGCCCTGACCTCTTGTGCTTCTGACACTGCCTCATTTTATTGGGTTTTAGGAAGGCAAACAGGCTTCGCTGGCCGCAGACTTCTCGATCACTCAATTTAAGCATCTCGGCCGATTGCTTATGGTGCATGGCCGGAACAGCTACAAGCGGTCAGCCGCCCTCAGCCAGTTCGTGATTCACAGGAGCCTCTGTATCAGCACCATGCAGGTGGGTGGGCAGCTGGCCCCTTTGCACACACGTGCATATGGCTATGTGATTATCGTGGAAAAAGCCTGGGAATTAGACGATGCTTTGGAGCTGTCACCCCCCACCTCACCAGTTTAAACCCCCTACCTGGCTACATGCCAGCTGATAGACCTTGAGCGGGTCCCTGAACGTCCTGGCGCTCAAGATTCCTTCCCTGTGAAGGGGTGCTGGTCATTCCTGCCGTGTGGTGTGGATGTGTGTGTGTTAGCAGTGGTGACGTCCAGAGCCTGGCCTGGGGCAAGTGGAGTGTACATGAGTTATTTTAATTGTGGGTGAGTTGTTATTTAATTGTGGGTGAGTTGGTCTGCTGGAGTGAAAGACGCAGAGTAAAGTGTTAAATGACTCTTCAAGCCCCGATTTTTCACAGGCAGAGGTTAGGGCCATCAGGGGACAACCACAGAAGAAGAACTGCCTTTGCCTGTGTGCTTCCTGTACGCGAGGCATCGGGCCGAGTGTTCACAATGCAGTGTCTCACATAAGTCTCGGAATAGCCTGAGCCCATTTTACAGTTGGGGAGACTGAGACTGAGTATGGATGAGAATCTGCGGTGTCCTGCAGGGATTCAGTAAGCTCAGGCAGGTAGACCTCAAAGCCTGCAGTCGCAATCTGAATATCCTTCTCAATGCACTTGTCATGGAGGGCCTGGGACCACGTGCAGTTGCAGGGGTCAGCGTGACACCTGGGACTGAGGTTACCTGGGCATCACGGTCCTGTCACCTAGCAGAGCCCAGTGGGGACCTGAGTTTAGTTATCATGATCCTGAATACCCTTGGAAGTTAACATCTTGCTCCCATCTTGCTTTTTCATGAAAAGATTCTAGAGTATATATTTTCCCACCTTCTCTCCCACAAACCCCTCCAAAATCTGTCATCACAGGCCAGGCGCAGTGGCTCTTGCTTGTAATCCCAACACTTTGGGTGGCCGAGGCAGGTGGATCACTGCAGGCTAGGAGTTTACCAGTCTGGTCAACATGGTGAAAACCTGTCTCTACTGAAAATACAAAAATTAGCTGGAGGTGGTGGCACACACCTATAATCCCAGCTACTTGGGAGGCTAAGAAATTCACTTGAACCTGGGAAGTGGAGGCTGCAGTGAGCTGAGATTGTGCCACTGCCCTCCAGCCTGGGCAACAGAGTGAGACTCCATCTCAAAAACAACAGCAGTAGCAACAACAAAATTTGTCATCAGGCTGTAGCAATTAAGTGTGGAGTAGAAAGGAGGCCGAAGGAGGGAAAGAAAACATTTTTGGTGTTGAAAAGCTATTGATTGATCTTTGGTTTTGGGCATTGAGATGAAAATGCTCCCAGTTGAGTGGTGAGAACATAAGCATAGTAAATCCTGGAACTCAACGTCTCCTTCTGACCACACACTAAGGATCTGTGAGAATGGGAGCAAATAACTTTCCTACTCCAGGCCTCCGTCTTCCCACCTGGAAAACAGGGATGATGAGATCGTCCTTGCCCTCAGACGGGGCCACTGTACAAAACAGAGAGGTTTGTAAGTCAGCAGTGCTGAGGCGTCCTTAATGTGATTAGCAGAAGTGAAACAAGGGAATATGTAAACATCAGCTAGTATTTTAATTTGTGAGAACGTGTAATCATATGTGAAAGGTGGGCCTCCTTGCACAGTGGTGCTGCTTTGGGTACATGTGAACTGACCATCCGCTGGCTTTACCCTGGTTTTTTTGGTGGGCGATTTTGTGTTTTAAATACTTGTTGCATTTATGAGTAGAGGAGCCTTAAAGTGACTTTCATCAAAATGATCTAAACCCAAATGGCTGCTGTGGTTCACCAGACCACATCTGTACTTGAATTTCTGTTAACTCACCAATTGAACTGGATAATGCTGTGGTTTGAATCACTAGGGGAGTGATCAGCTCATCCGTGGGTACATACACAAAAGCCGGCCGGGATGAGCTGACTTCTTCACAAACTGGATGTTACCGCTCACATCGATGTAGAAAAGAATTCCAGGATGAGGCATTGCTCTTTGTGTTCGAGAAAATGCCTTGAACCCGTGTCCACTGTGCTGAAAATGGCCAAGAACAAGTCCCAGTTAGAATTGCCCCTGGACACTGGTCAGAGAACACGGTTTTAATTTTTTCCAAAATGCTCTTGTTGAGATGAAGGCTTTATGGCTAGGATGACTCTTTTAGAGGAAGGGGCTCCTGATAATTGGTTTGCAAAATAAACACCAGTTTCTTGACATTTTTACAACCATCCTTCCTATGCAGCAGCCCAGCCTGGGTGAGATGTCACTGGAAAGGTGGCTTTCCCAGCACGGCCAGGGTCAGCCGGGGCTTCCTGTGGCCCCTTGGCACCTGCGCTCCGAGCTCTGTGTAGAGAAGGCACACGTTTCTTACATGCCTTCTCTCTGCATCCGTTGAAGATGCTCCCGGACCTAGCCCTGGTCTGATGCTCTCTCTAGTTACTAGGGTATCTCTGCCTTGCTTTCAGTGTTTAGATTTTTAAAAGCTTTCTGGCAGTGTTTGTCTCTGGCCTTCCTTCAGCTTTATGTGAGTAGAAATCAGCCTGGAGACCATGTTCCCTCTGTTAGCCCATAGAGGTCCAGAGAAGGAGCTAACAGAGCTTCAAGCCTGACTGGATCTCCCCTGCCTATTCATTATTACCAGCAGCTAATATTTTCCAAAGCAGGAAGCAGACATTTCCGTGAGGGTTTGTAAATATCTTCATTGCTTTTGTCTAATTGCAAAAGTAATCTGTCATGTGCTCTTTTCTAAAATTTCCCCAAATACCGAAACATGTAAGAAGTAAAGCCTTCTCTGCCATCCCAGCCCCCGTAGACACTTGGGAGGCTCTTTTTCCATAAGGGTTTTCATGCCTCCGGCAGCGTGCGTGCTTACAGAGGCGGGGATTCAGAGCTGGTTAGAAGTGTGGGCTCTGGGGCTACAGCTGGGTTTTTACTTGCTCAGTCTCCCGTTCTGTAAAGTGTGGGTGATAGAGGACCTGGTGCTGTGGGCGGCTCTGGAGATCAGTGTGCTCATGTGCAAAGCATTCCTGGGTCATGGAACTTAATGAATATTCACAGCGGGTGGAATGGACCCTGGGGCTGTAAAATCACCCTACCCGGGAATGATTCCTGGATTTGCTGCTAATGAGCTGTGTGGGCTTGGGCAAGCCACATAACTCTCTGTGCCTCACTTTCCCCTTTGCATCATGAGGATGGTGAGAATCGGACCTACTTCATAGGGTGGTGGTGGTTGTAAGAATGGAATGAGTGAATCCATGTAAAGTACCTTACAGCAGTGCCAGCACGGGGTGAGGGCTGTGTGAGTGTCAGGTGTTATTTGTTGGGTGCGGGCCGTGTAAGTGTCAGGTGTTATTTTTTGGGTGAGGGCCGTGTGAGTGTCGGGTGTTATTCTTCGTCTGTGAACCTAAGGGCGTTGTTGCGACTTCTGCTGACATCCTCCTTTCTCCTTGGCACAGGCCGTCTTTTCCTCCGTGTTTTACTTTGCCTCCGTCCCTCTCTATCAAGGATTCCTCATCATTGGGTAAGGAAATCCTGCCAAGGGATTAATTGTGTATGAAACTTTCTTCAAATGCCGCAGCAGAGAGAAGAAACGTGGAAAAATTCCTGGATTCCCAAGTCACATTGGATTCCCAGCCCCAGCGAACACAGGCCCGGCACCATGGTTTAGAACCTTCTGGAATTACCAAGGCTTTGATCCATTAAGCCCTTCCCCAGACGGAGGAAGTGGAGGTGGATATGTATGTGGTGTGTTGTATTCTGCCACTTGAACCTGGTCGCGAGAAAAGACACCATGGTTATCGGTTGATTGAGGAGGGCCAGGTGGAAGGTTTGCAGGCTTGGTGATGTCGCTGGGGTCTTCTTCAGAGGGAAGGGGGATCTGAGACATGCCCTCCTCGCCTGAACTGAGCCCAGTAGAAGTCCCATCCTTGGAGTTCCAAGGAGGGCCAGAGGCCACTGCCTCAGGGAAGTGCGAGTAACAGAGCTTGCCTGCTGTGCCTCGGTGACAGAGATGGTGTCACTTGGGCCTTTGCTGCTCGCAGACCCACCCCACTTCCTGACCTGGAACTTTATGATGGTCCTCTGACGTTTTCAGACAATGTGCTCAGTCTTTGAATCACCCAGGTGGGTGGAGTTTGGTTACCAAGTGCCCTAGATGCAGACCCATGCAGCTGAGGCCACGTGTGGTCATGAGGCGGCGGCGCAGCAAGGCCGCTGCGCTCCGGAGAGGCTCGCAGAGGCCACTTTCCTTCTTACTGCGTTTGGCCGATGACTTGAGCTTGAGCGGAAGCACTGGAATTCTGCCCGCTTCTAGCTGGAAAAGCAGACTGTCCTTTGTTGGGGTCTGGAAGAGTCAAAGAACATGACAATATAGTCAGGGGTTCCCTGAGCTCTGCTGCATGCGACCTTCCATGGCATGACCCCATCTTCCCCATGAGTCCTTATGTCCTCTCACATCACCGTCAGCCCCAGCCACACTGGCCTTTGGGCTCCTCTTCAGACATGACAGCCGCCTGCTGCCTCAGGGCCTTTGCACTGCCTCTTCCTTCTGCCGGGAATGCTCTTCCTCCTGGGATTGGCTTGGCGGCCCCTTACGTCTTTTGAGTGTTCACTCAAATGTTCTGTTCCTTAGTCTCTAAAATTGTGCTGTTATCCCCTACACACACACACACACACGTACGCACACATACATACGCACGCACACACACACATGCACACATACACGCACACACACGCATGCACACACACATACATGCGTGCACAGACACACACACACCTTATTTCTTCTGCGCCATTATATTTCTCTATCAGCGCTTACCTCTAACACACATAGAGTTTACCGAATTTATTTGTTTATTGACTCACTGACTAGGACAAAAGCCCTTGAGGGCAGACATTTTTGTCCATTTTTCCTCTTGGGTTTCAGCCAGCCCTGGAGCGTAATAGACCGGCAGTAAAGAGTTGTCTGAGACATGGATGGGACTTGGGCGCCGGAGGTTGGCATAGCACAGAGCTCCTCACCCCGTCGGCCAGGTCTTACCCATGGCGGCTTTCTCTCCCAGGTACTCCACCATTTACACCATGTTTCCCGTGTTTTCTCTGGTCCTGGACAAAGATGTCAAGTCGGAAGTTGCCATGCTGTATCCTGAGCTCTACAAGGATCTTCTCAAGGTGCCGTGGGCTTCCCAGTGCCTCCTCCTTTCCTATCTCTTCCTCCCCTCCCTCCCTGCTTTTTTTTCTTAATTTATTTCACACAGACCCTCCATTTCTGATTTGAGCACACTTGAACTGGTAGCTTTCTTACTTTTGGGGGGAAGGGGTGGGAGTTTGCATTTTTTCTTAAAACAGTAATATATGCACTGTTAGAACTTGAAAGAGTACAGTAATAGATAAACTGAGAACAAGCCAACTCACGACTTTGAAAAAGCCCCTGACAGTTCCACTTTGCAGCTGCAACCTATGTTTGCTCCCAGAGATGCTCCTGTGTCTACTTCCAAAAAGTGTGTGTGGTGGCATGGTCACCGGCATCTTATAATTTTGTCTTCAAGGGTTTTTTACCCAAGGGAAGATTTATTCCCATTTAATGTCAATTCTTTTTTTTTTTTTTTTTTTTTGGATACTGAGTCTCTGTCACCCAGGCTGGAGTGCTGTGGCTTGATCTCGGCTCACTGCAACCTCCATCTCCCGGGTTCAAGCGATTCCCCTGATTGAGCCTCCTGAGTAACTGGGACTATAGGCATGCACCACCATGCCTGGCTAATTTTTGTATTTTTAGTAGAGAGGAGGCTTCACCATGTTGAGCAGGCTGGTCTCGAACTCCTGACCTCAATTGATCCACCTGCCTCAGCCTCCCAAAGTGCTGGGATTATATATGTGAGCCACCACACCTGGCCAATTCTTTTTTTAAAGAAATAATTTCTCTAATGTGTTCAGATGTTGTGCTAGCCACTTTCTTGACGAAGACAGATGGGTTGCCTTAGCTGGTTAGCGGAAGAGTAACGTGAACGCTGATGGCATGCTGCTCGAGTCCTCCTCCAGGAAACCTGCTCTAATCTTTCTGTTTCTCATTTAGGGACGGCCATTGTCCTACAAGACATTCTTAATATGGGTTTTGATTAGCATCTATCAAGGTAAGAATCAGTGGAGACACCTGTTTGCCTTGTGCTCTGGTGCTGACTCAGGAGTGTCCCTTTCTAGCCTGTAGAACAAGAAAAGAAGAAAGTGGAATCTGAAATAGCAGGAAGGAGGGTGACAGAGTGACTCGGGAGACCCTGCTCACTCTGTTATAAGGACTTAAACGTCAGACGCATGCAGTGGTGCTGCCTGAGCGTTGAGGTGGTGAAGCCACAGGAAGGCAGCGGATCATAATCAAAACCTGCGGAGCTGCTCCGCCCACGTGACGAAACGTGGTTGTTTTCCGGGGTGTTCTGATACCTTTTCGGAAAGTCAAGTCAAGTCATAGTTTTGGAAAAACATGTTTACTTTAGCGGCCTCCAGAGAGGTCTCTCAGACTGTAGAGGCATTGAAATGCAAGAAGAAAAGAGCAAAACTTTGATTTGTAATTACTTTTCTAACTCTTTTAATGTATATATTGTATATTAATATATATATTTATATATTTATATGTTATATATATATATATTTGAGACAGAGGGCAAAGCCACTGTGCCTAGAATCCTTTTTTTGAGATGGAGTTTTGCTCTTGTTGCCCAGGCTGGAGCGTAGTGGTGCCATCTCAGCTCACTACAACCTCCACCTCCTGGGTTCAAGCGATTCTCCTGCCTCAGCCTCCCAATTAGCTGGGATTATCGATGCTCACCACCACGCCTGGCTAATTTTTGTATTATTTTTAGCAGAGATGGGGTTTCACCACATTGGCCAGGCTGGTCTTGAACTCCTGACTTCAGGTGATCTGCCCACCTCAGCCTTCCAAAGTGCTGGGATTACAGGCGTGAGCCACTGCGCCTGGCTATAGTATTTCTATTTTTATGTATGTTTTGTAATGCACGTAATAGGTTTCATATACATATATATGTATACTGTATAATATATGCATTATATATATTTTATATATTATATGTATAACATATAATATATGCATTATATATAATATAGAATACGTATATATGTAGAAACAGAGTGAGACCCTAGGGGGCAGAGGATCTCGCTCTGTTGCCCAGGCTGGAGTGCAGTGTAGCAATCGCAGTTCTCCATAGCTTTGACCTCCCCAGGCTCAGGTGATCCTCCCACTTTAGCCTTCTGAGTCTAGGACTAGAGGTGCATACCATCCCCAAATCAGTTCCAAGTCAGTTCATTTCTTCCCAATTGATTGTGAGCCACGAGTCCCTGACGGGCCAGCAAGATGCCCCTGTGCTGTGCTGTGGGCCCCATCGGATGCTGCCACAGGCTTTAGTTTCTGTCTAGAAACCTGTTTCTAGTTCAGCATCATAAACCTGGGACTACGGGTGTCCACCACAACACCCGGCTAATTTTTGTACTTTTTATAGAGATGAGGTCTTGCCATGTTGCCCAGGCTGATCTTGAACTCCTGGACTCAAACAATTCTCTTGCCTCAGCCTTGCAAAGTGTTGGGATAACAGGCATGAGCTACTGTGCCCAGAACCCTCTTTTTGAGTATTTCCATTTCTATGTATGTTTTATGGTGCATATAATATATTTTGAAATGACCCTGATGTCTCTATACATCCGGACAGGTACACGTTTAACTTTACAAATAAACATGTGTCTTTGGGGTTTATTATTTTAAAAAATAAATTTAATGTTCATGTCACCTGTTGGGATTTATTTTTTATTATTTTTTGAGACAAAGTCTTGCTCTGTCACCCAGGCTGGAGTGCAGTGGCATGATCTTGGCTCACTGTAACTTCCGTTTCCTGGCTTCAAGCAATTCTTGTGCCTCAGCCTCCCGAGTAGCTGGGACTGCAGGCATGTGCTTCTACACTTGGCTAATTTTTGTATTTTTAGTAGAAATGGGGTTTTGCCATGATGGCCAGCCTGGTCTTGAACTCCTGGCCTCAAGTGGTCCTCCTGCCTCGGCCTCCCAAAGTGCCGATTACAGGTGTGAGTCACTGCATCACTTTATTTTTTATTTTTATTTTTACTTTTTTTTTTTAGACAGGATCTTATTTTGCAGGCAGTGCTGCAATCTCAGCTCACTGCAACCAGTACTTCTCAGGCTCAAGTGATCCTCTCACCTCAGCGTCCTGAGTAGCTGGGAGTACAGGCGCATACCACCACACCTGGCTAATTTTTGCATTTTTTGTTTAGATGGGATTTCACTGTGTTGCCCAAGCTGTTCTCGAACTCCTGAGCTCAAGCGATCCTCCCACCTTGGCCTTCCAAAGTGCTGGGATTCCAGGCGTGAGCCATCATGCCTGGCTGTGGCTTCATCATTTTAAATATTACATTTAAGTTTCTATTTCTTTCATCAACTCTAGAGAGTTACTCTTTCCCTCCCTGCCTGGCTTTTTTTTTTTTTTAAACAAATGAATTCTTCTTTATTCAGAGTCCATACAAATACAGGTACTTTCAAAAGTGCAATGTTACTGGAGACATGAATTAACAGAGAACAAGTACTGCCCACATTCTTCATAGGATGACGGGTGTTATCCAAGCCATGTGTTTTTCTTACTCTGTAATTATAGATTATTTATCCTACAAGGTCAAAGAGGAAAATCGGAAAAGTTGGGTTCAGACCTCCATGCAGCACCAGTCATTAACCTCCTGTAACAAGTGATACCTTTTATGTCTAAATGAAAACGGTGCCAAGGGGCCGCGTGTGAGTGAGCAGGGTGAGGCTTTTGCAGGGAGGGCGAGGGTAACAGCCTTCTCTGGCGTTTGCAGGGAGCACCATCATGTACGGGGCGCTGCTGCTGTTTGAGTCGGAGTTCGTGCACATCGTGGCCATCTCCTTCACCTCGCTGATCCTCACCGAGCTGCTTATGGTGGCGCTGACCATCCAGACCTGGCACTGGCTCATGACAGTGGCCGAGCTGCTCAGCCTGGCCTGCTACATCGCCTCCCTGGTGTTCTTACATGAGTTCATTGGTAAGACCCCCGAATGCTTAAACCCTGTCTGTCACTCCCAATGAATCGGGCCCAGAGGTCTTGCTGCCCTGTGAGGGAAGGGGTCTGCCACAGCGCTCCGGCCGGGGCTATGCCTCCAGCAGTCCCTTCCCGCTCAGCTGTCTGCGTTTTCTCACTGGTGTTCCCTAGAGACAGGCAGTAGTTGTGCTTCAGGGTGTGAAATTGAGGACAGAGGGCAGGATTGCGTTCGAGTGTTTTCTTTTTTTTTTTTTTTTTTTTTGTGAGACAAGAGTCTTGCTCTTGTCACCCAGGCTGGAGTGCAGTGATGTGATCTTGGCTCACTGCAATCTCTGCCTCCCGGGTTCAAAAGATTCTCCTGCCTCAGCCTCCCGAGTAGCTGGGACTACAGGCACCACGTCCAGCCATGTTTTTCTTTTTTAAATCACACAGAGCTAACTAGATTAGAAAGGGAATCCATTGGCCGGGCGCGGTGGCTCACACCTGTAATCCCTGCACTTTGGGAGGCTGAGGCGGGTGAATCACCTGAGGTTGGAAGTTTGAGACCAGGCTGGCTAACATGGAGATACCCCATCTCTACTAAAAATACAAAAATTAGACAGGCGCGGTGGCTCACATCTGTAATCTCAGTTACTTGGGAGGCTGAGGTAGGACAATCACTTGAACTCAGGAGGTAGAGGTTGCAGTGAGCCGAGATCGTGCCACTGCACTCGAGCCTGGGTGACAGAGCAAGACTCTGTCTCAAAAAAAAAAAAAAAGTCCGTTTAACTCGGCAGGTAGGAGTTGCTGGGTTTCTCCACGGGGTCGCTGCTGTACGGGGCCCCAGCTGAGCTGGGGAAAAATTGAGCATCCAGGTCTCACTTTCATGTAAATGACAATCCAGCAGGCTTCCTCAAATCCAAGAAAATCTGAGGACATAGCAGTATCCTCTTAGCTGATGATTTTTCAGACTTTTTTTTTTTTTTTTTTTGAGACAGAGTCTCGCTCTGTCGCCTTTTTGGGGCCACAAAACTTTGTTGTTCCCAGGAAATCTTGGTCTGAAGTCCAATCTGTGATATTGGTAACGGGGCCTTGTGATGGCATAGTGGCAGTGCTGGAGGTGCCCAGACCTTGCCGTGCGGACCTGCCTTGCTGCTGTGTCAATTCCATAGACCTGGGAGCACCTGCCGCGTCCAGGATTATGGTGGCAGATGAGGTGGACAGGCTCGCCGTGGAGCTGCCCTTCTTGTTGGGAACACATGTAAACACACACATAAGTGAGTCTGTGAGCACAGGAGTGTCAGATGTGATCAAGGTTACCAAGAGAGAGACACGGGGTGAGGCGCTAGAGACCCAGGCACACCCCACATAAAAAACGTTATGGAGGCTGGGCGTGGTGGCTCATGCCTGTAATCCCAGCACTTTGGGAGGCCTAGGTGGGCGGATCACGAGGTCAGGAGTTTGAGACCAGCCTGGCCAACATGGTGAAACCCTGTCTCTACTAAAAATACAAAAAATCAGCTGGGCGTGGTGGCATGTGCCTGTGATCCCAGCTATCGGGAGGCTAGGGTAGGAGAATTGCTTGAACCTGAGAGGTGGAGGTTGCAGTGAGCCAAGATTACATCATTACACTCCAGCCTGGGCAACAGAATAAGACTCCGTTTCGAAAAAAAAAAAAAAAAAAAAAAAAAAAAAAAAAAAACTTAAAATGTCATGAATATTTAGAGCTGGGAGAGAGCTGGCTGTGTCCGAAGCCGGGAGGGCTGACCCTCCCATCTCGGTCGTGATCCCAGGTACTCTTGTGCTCATGCAGCGTCAGCCATGTCTCCAGATGGGCAAGCCTGGCTTCACCACTCTTCCATGCTGACCCCTCACTTGCTTTGCCAAGTCAGTTCATTTCTTCCCAATTGGTTGAGACACAAGTCCCTGCAGGGCCACCAAGATGACCCCGTGCTGTGCTATGGACCCCATTGGGTCCTGACACGGGCTTTAATTCCTGCCTAGAAACCTGTTTCTAGTTCAGCATCGTAAACGTGCAACATGGGCACAGCTCAGATGGCCCAGCGTTTTCTGGGCTGTGCTGTGGATAGATTGGTGAGCTCTAGTCTTGGTTTCCCCAGCACAGGGCACACTCAAGCTGCAATGGCTTTGGAACCTTGGGTCCAGGGGTCATCCTGAAAGTCTAGCTGTGCAGCAGGTAGCCCTCTTCACACCTCTTTTCGGTAGAAGCATTTAAGTTTCTGTCTGTGTTATTTAAACAAAAAACCCGCAGAGTGATATTTTTTCCTTTTATCAGCTGAGGAAGCAGAGCCCGGCGGCTGCTTCTCTGCTAATAAGCTCATCTGTGGTCAGGATTGCAGATAGATTCTCTCTGGGGGAAGCTTTCAGTTATGACAACCCCCTCATGCCCCTTCCTCTATGGGAAGCCCGCCTGGGCCAGGGGCTGTCTAGCAATAGCCCATCCCACTCCTTTGTCCCAGGCCTTATCAGTGGGGGTCATGTGCCCCCACTACCTGGGGAACAAACACTGGTCTTCGGTGGGTGTCAACAAACCCTAATCCTATATGTCTCCTAAAGGAGATGTATATACAGTATAACGAACAGATATACAGTGCACCTGTGACGTTAACATTTCTTGGAGGTGGTCCATTAGGGGAAGAAAAGTCTAGGCCGGGTGCGGTGGCTCACGCCTGTAATCCCAGCACTTTGGGAGGCCGAGGTGGATCACGAGGTCAGGAGAACGAGACCATCCTGGCTAACACAGTGAAACTCCGTCTCTACTAAAAATACAAAAATTAGACAGGCGTGGTGGCACGTGCCTGTAATCCTGGTTACTCGGGAGGCTGAGGCAGGAGAATCACTTGAACCTAGGAGGCAGAGGTTGCAGTGAGCCGAGATTGTGCCAGTGCATTCCAGCCTGGGTGACAGAGTGAGACTCTGTCTCAAAAAAACAAAACAAAACAAAAAGAAGAGAAGTCTAAAAAGAGTCTAAAAAGGTTTCTTAAGGGGCAATAACAAGAAAAAGCAGAGAAACTCGACCCTAGAAGTGTCTTTGATCATGGCTCCTTTGCCAGCTTCCAAAGCTCCTTAGGAAGGTTTTAGTAAACTTAAAACAAACAGCCCCATGAAAAGTAGTTTTAAAACAGTTTCATGGTGGCATCACCAGTTTCTAGAAAGGATTTGTGAGCACCTATGTGCTCTAGGAACTAAAGGACCATCCTTGTGAAAAGTGGAGTTTGAAGCAGTTTCACCCTTGCCACTAGTCTCTAGAAAGCGTTTTGTGAGACCTACTGTGTTCTCATGGGCTTGGCCCTGAGGGGTCACAGAGATGTAGCCCCTGCTCAGGAAGCTCAGCTTGTTTTTGATGTGGACACATGACAGGGCCAGGTGAGAGGCACAGGAAAACACCAGGGTGGGCTGAGCCTTGGGCCCAGCACATAGTAGGTGCTGTCTCAGTGCCAGCTGCATTTCAGCATCCTGTGCTCAGAAAAGCGGGGAAGGGGTTGCTTCAGCTTCTGCTATATTGAAAGCCACAAACTGTCACTCCTCTCTTGAGGAAACCTCATAACCGGGTTTGCAATCCGGCAGCTGGAAAGGCAGCACCCCCGGCCCCACCTTCCATCAGAGCCCCTGAGGGTCAGCCTAAACCTGGACCTGACAAGGGTGGTCTCAGCCCACTTTGCACCATCGCCCACATTCATCTGTGGTTTTCTGTGACCATCGCTGGGTTGAAGGGAAGAAGTTGCTGAAAGCAGAAGGTGCATTTGAATGTCACTTTCCTCTTGCCACTGGCTGGGGCTTAGAAAGAAAGACTCTCCCGCTGTCAGACAACACCAAATCAAAAGCATCTAGCGAGTTTTCTTCCCCTGTAATTTTCTTTGCTTCTTTTCTTTTTTGAGATGGAGTCTCGCTCTGTCGCCTAGGCTAGAGTGCAGTGGCATGATCTCCGGTCACTGCCACCTCTGACTCCTGGATTCAAGCAGTTCTCCTGCCTTAGCCTCCTGAGTAGCTGGCATTACAGGTGCATGCCACCACACCTGGCTAATTTTTGTATTTTTAGTAGAGATGGGGTTTCACCATGTTGGTCAGGCTGGTCTTGAACTCCTGACCTCATGATCTCCCTGCCTCGGCCTCCCAAAGTACTGAGATTACAGATGCGAGCCACCGCACCCGGGCTCTTTCCTTCTTTTTTTCCCTTTTTTTTTTTTTTTTGAGACAGTGTCTTACTCTGTTGCCCAGGCTAGAGTGCAGTGGTTATGTTCTTGGCTCGCTACAACCTGCACCTCCCAGGCTCAAATGATCCTCCCACTTCAGCCTCCCAAGTAGCTGGGACTATAGGCATGGACCAACATGCCTGGCTAATTTTTGTACTTTTTGTAGAGATGGGGTTTTGCTGTGTTGCCCAGGCTGGTCTCAAACTCCTGGGCTCAAGTCATCTGCCCGCCTTGGCTTCCCAAAGTGCTGGGATTAAGGCATGAGCCGCTGCAGCTGGTGGGCCCCGTAGTTTTCTTTTCCTGTTGAAAGTAGCATTTCACTATCGGAAGCTACAGAAGAGAGCCAGAATCAAGCTGATGGCGCCGTGCGCTCTTAGCCGTGGCGCCTTCCCTTGCAGTCCCTGGAGGGAGAGTGCCATTGCCAGGAGGCTGTGGGTTTGTGACAGGAGAGGACTTTCCCTTGAGAGCTGTGAGGTCTGTTTCTGGACCACATGCACCTTCCAGAGTATTCCTGCCTGCTCACCGCTGTCTTCCCGTTTGCTTGCAGATGTGTACTTCATTGCCACCTTGTCATTCTTGTGGAAAGTCTCCGTCATCACTCTGGTCAGCTGCCTGCCCCTCTATGTCCTCAAGTACCTGCGAAGACGGTTCTCTCCCCCCAGCTACTCAAAGCTCACGTCGTAGGCCGTGCACTCTCTGGAGGGGCCCTGGTCTCGGCGCTTCCCTGATGGACAAGAGCTCAAGTTCCATGGATGTGAATCGCCACCTGTGGATTTTGCAGTAATTGCTAACACGTGCAGTTTTAATGGGAAGAGGCTCTGTGCCTAAACGGAGTCCCGCTGCATCAGCAGGAGGGAGGTCCTAAAAGAGACCTATCTGGGCCTGTCTGAACCCCTCGTTCTTCATGTTTGAGTGAATGTGAATATGTTAAAGCTGGGGGCTCAGCTGGGAGATGTATGTGGGTTACTGTGCGAGCTTCCTTATGACTTGAATTTTGTTGTCACGTGATAAAAGTTTCTCTCCAGCTGGAGGTTGTAGAAGGCTTGTTTTTGGTTATGTTTTGTTTTTTTTAACAGTCCTATCGTGTATGTACTCTTTAAGTCTTTCTTGCTTTTACAAAGAGGTGTCAGAAGAATAGAAAGCTCTTGGTGTAGGTTTGGGAGGAAGAGACAGTGACATCTGGTAAAAAGTTACCCACACAGTAATCTCCATTCAGGAATGCTCAGTATCCTCTCCCGGTAGCCGTGCTGATCCAAGTTATACTGGATTCCTGGGATCGTAACCAGTGACTGGGAGGAGAGGGAGAGAGAGTGTCGTAAATCCAATCTGTTGTCCTTGATCTGATTCAGCATCCATAGTGCATGCGTTAACTTCACCTGCCACCTCGTAAAAGAATTTCAGAGGTGCGATCCCACTTTATTGGGACCTGGTAACAATTACAAAGCCGGTGGCTGGCTGAGAACAACCTCCGACATTTTCAGCAGAGTTGTTTTAGCAGGAAACGTGCCACTGAATGGCCCCTAAATGTGTCGACAGTGTGATAAGAGACTCAACTAATTCTTTAGACAACATGGCAGCTGTGACTCAGATCCTCCAAGGCCAAAGCGGAAAGGTCAGTAGCGGAGACTCCTCTCCCACAGAGGTCTGTTTCCTGTAGGAGGCATTAGTGAGGATGACCCCACAAAGCCAGAGCCATCCTGCCAGGCTGCCTTTCGTCGGTGGCAGCTTTCAGAGCAAGGAACCTCTGGTGGGAGGAGGCCCAGGCTGTGGCTCTGGGACCTGGATTTCAAGGGAGCTTGCTGAAAGGCAGCCAGTCGTCAAGATTCCTTCCCTACCAGGATGGACTCCATGCACGCATGTTTCTTATAAAGCCATGGCTTCTTGTTTCAGAGGAAGCAGAGAGTCTGTGATCGTTGGCCGTGGCAGAGCAAGGCATTCTTGGGTTTTCAAGTCACTTCTTGCAGAAGCCACATCTGCATGCCGTGAGGGTTAAGTTGGTGGGTCTTCAGGAGCCAAGTGTGGTTGAGATCTTGGATTTGCGTTTCCTTCTTGATGAGTACATACCTTCAAACCCTCCACCTGGCGCAACTTCTCTGTGCTTCAGAGGTGTACATTACAGCCTGCTTTCTGATGCCTACTAACTCCTGCTCTTGGAGAGCTAGAGACACAAGGATCAGATAGTCCCTTGCCTTCGGAGCACTCTTGATAAGCTTTTGTATTTCATGTTGTCCTTTTAAAACGTTCTAGAATGACCTCACATTGCAGGCACTGATAAATTGGCTGTTAACCACTTCTGCTTCGTCTTAAGAGTTCTTGCAGTTTCACAGTATTTTTTCCTGTCTGATTCAGTCATGTCTGCCAGAGGGAAAAGGTTTGCAGAAAAGATACAATGAATGAATAGTTAAGGATAGGAATTTTGTCCAAAAATTTCAGAAAGATGGAGCAAATCTGACTTCTTCATTGAGTGAGTTTGTATGGTTTCAAAGGTTGAGGAGGAGAAAGTTGTGCTGAAAGTTTTTGAGCCTCTGTCTTCCTGGAAGTCAGTCTGTAGCACTGGGAGGTCTTTAGATAGTTCCGTGTAGAGTTTGCAAACCCTGAACCTGGCTTTGTTCAGAGATAAAAGATACTGGGTCCTGCAGGCAGTGGGTGTGGGAGCCTTGTCGGGAAGTGTTAGAGACTTCCAGCAGAAGCTGAATGAAGATGGTCTCTCTGGTCTTTTCCTTAATTCTGAATTTTGATCGAGGTGCACAAGTTGACTTTTAAAGTCAACACTTGAGAAACCGCTTGACATTTTCACGGGACAGTGCTTCCAGGAGGGGCTGAAGGAGCCACACCCAGAAGTGGAAGGTACTCGTCTGTGTTCCTCACAAAGCTTTCTCTTCTGTTGTCTCAGCCGCACTGGGGCAGAGGCAGTCAAGGGTGAAAACGACCAAAACTCAAGTGCAGGCTACCACGTCGTGGGCTCATCCCATCAGTGGGCAGCCGGCTGACGCCTTTCGCCAGAGGGTCCCCAAGCATCTAGGAATGCACACGCCGTGCTTCTCAAACGCTGGAGACGCAGAGGCAGGAGCTTTCGGTCCGGTGAGAGTACACGATCTTTACCTGCATAGATCAGACCGTAAGCCCAGCAGAGAACCCCAGGGGCGCTCGGGGGCTTCTGGGAGGTTATCTTCATTGTGGTGGGGAAGACAAAGAAATAAGCAACCAAGAAACTAGAGTTACTGTGCAAGAGGCTCTCCTGAGTTTTTAACCTTCAGCATAAGGATTCAGTTAACCTTTTTCTTGGTTCATCAATCTGGAAAGAGCCTACATAAAGCACCATTGACGCCCTCACCTGGGAGCTCCGTGGGCCTTACGTTTTTGACAGCCAATTTCATTTGAGGTCAGAGGGCCTCGAGGCACACAGTCAGCCCTGTCTGAACAGTTTTCCTGAAAGCAAAACTCACAGCTCCCTGCGCCCTCTGACCACAGTAGCTATTTCTGCCAGAGTAAGAACTTCTATTACTATTTTGTGACTGTTCATACGTCTTGTGGCGGTGGGTGTGTGACGGGGCAGCAGGATCTGTTTGCTTTCTTTTTTCCCTCCCTCCTTCCTTTTCTCTCCTTTTTTTCTCTAAGAAAATCACCAGGGCTGGGCTAGGTGGCTCACGCCTGCAATCCCAACACTTCAGGAGGCCAAGGTGGGCAAATCATGAGGTCAGGAGTTTGAGACCTGACTGGCCAACATGATGAAACTCCATCTCTACTAAAAACACAAAAAAGTAGCTGGGCGTAGTGGCGCATGCCTGTAATGTCAGCTACTCGGGAGGCTGAGGCAGGAGAATCACCTGAACCCGAGAGGCGGAGGTTGCAGTGAGCTGAGATCGTGTGCCATTGTACTCCCATTTCTTGCTCTGTCTAGGAGACAGAGTGCGACTTCATCTCAAAAAAAAAAAAAAAAAAAAAATCGCTAGACTAGTTTCTCCATCTTGAGTAACTTCTTAGATGGGACAGCTTCGATCCTCATTTTGAAGGCCCGTGTGTGCACATATGTGTTACTGTGGCACCAGGTGAGACGGTGGCACTAACCTGACTGCTGGGAGTGCATTCCAGGGAGCATCATGATGTTGGTGTAGACCTCCCGTTTCCAGCTCCCCAGTCCTGGCAGCACTGTAAAATTCCCATCCGAGTTACGCTCCCCTGGAGTGAAATGAAACCTGTTTTGTGTGTGACGGTAATCTTAAAAACCGTTGTCTCTTTATGAACGTTTCCTCCATTGCTCGCTGCTGAAAATGTAGGCCCTGTTACTCGTGAATGCGGTTTGAATTTTGTGCTCATTGGAAACTGATATGTTAATGCCTCCCCCAGCCCCCACCAGACTTTTCTTTTTATACTTTGTCTTCTTTTTACTGGGGTGGGTTGGGCATGCGTGCGTGCCTTTAGGCCAGCATTTTAAACCTTTGTCAAAATTGCAAATGGGACATACACGTTCTTCTGCTCCATCCTACTTAAAGCAAACACCTATCAGCTATTTTTATCTTTTACCTTTTCTGTATGTTTGCAGTGAGTGCTGTGTGTGTGTGTGTGTGTGTGTGTGTGTGTGTGTGTAAGAATGATATAAAGGTTTTTGAAGAAATATTTGGTTTTCATTGCATTAAAATTCTATCACTCCCAGCTTTGTTTTCATTTAAAAAATATACGAGGAGCTTTGTAAATACAACAAATTTTATTTCTTCCCCTTCTTTTAATGTATAGCTTTTTTGCCGTTTATATATACTTAAAATATTCCCATGAATTATGTCCAGTTCTTCTTGGAAAAAAATAGATGATGTTTTTGAATGGAACTGCAAAGCGTCCTGCAGCGTGATCAGCCCCGACCTGAAGCTCCGGAGCACCTTCTCAGGCCAAAGCAGCGTGACCCGTGGCTCTGTCTTCTCTGCCACAGCATGGTGTGAAGCGCAGTCTGTCAGTATAGCTGGGCGATGCCAGTGACTCTCGTGTTTATGGGGTCAGGTGGGGGGGGGGCGTGGCGTCTGCAAGAAACAAATTGCGGCTCATTGATGATTTTGTTGCGGGGAGTTACTATAAGCTCGCCTAAGAGTCCGTGGCTGCTCGTTAGTTGCCCTCTCTGTGTCATCCCCATTGCACATTCTCACCAGGACGGCGTGTTTTGATTAGCGGCGAGCTCTGGCACAGTCTGCTTTAATTTAGCAGGAACTTCCAGATGATTTAAATTCTCGATGCCGTGATGACACACGTGATCCTCCGCATTTCCGAGCGACTCTGCTTTCATTGTTTGCCAGCGTGGCCTGTTGCTGTTGCCCAATAAAGCTCGTGTACGTTCTGCCTTGGGGGATTATTTTAATTTGGACAGAAACATGCATTCTGGTGTCAAAATGAGGACTTTTTATTATAATGCTCCTATTTTCTCTGTATTTCTATGGTACATGAAATGTAAAGAAAACTCCGGTTCAAAAAATTATTTTGATTTTTGCAAAAAAAAAAAAAAGTAATTGCATGCTATTTATTATTCTGTACTATTGTCCATCCCAGACATGTCAGAATTTCAAAAGGTGATGGATATAAATAGAAAAAGATGAAAACCATAAGCTTCGTATTGTATTTATATACACAGTCCTTCATGACTTTGGAATCTTTGGGTTTTTTTAAAATCGAGGGATGGAACATTTAGGAAGAGTCAGTTGAGTTTTAGGCAAAAAACATTTTTAAGGCCAGGCACAGTGGCTCATGCCTGTAATCCCAGCTTTGGAAGACTAAAGCATGAGGATTGCTTGAACCCCGGAGTTTGAGACCAGCCTGGGTACCATGGTGAGACCCGTATACAAAAAATACAAGAAAACTAGCTGCATGCACTGGCTCAAGCCTATGGCTCCAGGAACTTGGGAGGCTGAGGCAGAAGGATCACCTGAGCCTCGGAGGTGGAGGCTGTAGTGAGTCATGTTTGTGCCACTGCACTTTGAACTGGGCGACACAGCAAGACCCCATGTCAAACAAACAAAAAAAAAAAGAAAATTATTTTAAGCTGTTG